TTATAACTTTTACGATAACCAGCGATTTGATGCAACTCACCCTTAATCTTGCTATCTGAGATCTTGTAGATCACCCGAAAATAATTTCACCATTGATAGCGTGGCGCTAGTCTGTTTTCTTCTCGCTAATTGTACAATCGGGGAATCTGTCGGTGGAACCTTATAATCTTCGAATATTCTATTGAACGTTTATACACATTAAGTCGGTAATGTGAAAAAAGATACAAATAGGACCCAACTTCTAAATGTCTAGACGAAAATGTCGATTAGTGATTTTATTATTCTGTCGTTAACTCACCGCTGTCTAACCAATAAGAGACGATGTTTGTCTCGGTAGAAGGAACTGTACTTTAATTTCATTTTTGTCTACACGTCGGAAAAGATCCATACTTTTGTGTATGTTTGTATGGATTAAGATGTCTATGTCTCTATGAGAGTTGTGCAGTATAGAGTTGTGCAGCGAACATATCGGTGCGTGTGTGCGGGCGCGGGCGGTGCCGCGGCGCGGCGGTGCGCGCGTGGCGCGCGGGCGGGCCGTGCGTGTCGCTGAACGCGGTGGGGCTGTGCTCGGCGCGCGGCGTCTGCGACCACGCCGAGTACACGCCGCGCTCCAACGTATACCCTGATATTATGGTCAGTAGGTATCATAACCTTTGATTTCGATTTAAATTTGAAACATTCTTACTACTAGTTTTCGACCGCAACTCTATCCGCGTGGAATTAATAAAAACAAAAGTAACAGCAGTTTAGGCTACAAATTCTAACAAACTTTCATCCATCCAAACTTTCGCATTTATAATATTAGAAAGTTAATAAGTTCGATATTTTAATGAATGGATGTATGTTAGTACGTATCTCCAAAACAACTGAACGAATCTCAATTAAATCTGTCACATTTGTATAATCTGGAAGAATACATAGACACCTAATTACATAAGTTGTAATAATTCTGCGCCGACGGAGTCCCGCGACAACTAGCATAAGATTTTTTTTTATTCACATAGGGTTTATGTTGCCAATACTTTCAGTTAAAGATAGACATAGATTAGATTTTTTTTTTAACCAAATAACCAGACTTTCAATTTATTTTTTCAGAATGTAATGGTAAAGCAAAAAAACAAAAGCGTATCGTGTCGGACGATGTTCCCGACATTTTTATTGTTTTTATTTTTTATGTATTTATTAAATAAAACGAGAGCTTGCTTTTTATTTTAATTTAAAGTTGAATTAACTGATAAGTCGAGTGTTCAATTTTATATGAAAATAAAGAACACAAACTTGTACTACATATTATTTTTATGTAAAATACATATCTTTTTAATATTTCCATTTTTGAAAGACAAAGGCTCTAAGAAAAAACTGCCGTACAAGTAACTCATTTATTGTTCGTTATACATATTTACAAATCGCGAAATACAAAAAGAAACTTATAAATTAAATAACCGCACTTTACCAGGCATTATTTACAATGAAATTACAAAAATTAACAGTTTCATTTTATAATGTTCGTTCTTACGAAATAATCCAACAGATAAAAATATCCAATCGTGATAAGAAACCCCTATCTTACCAACATTATATTTCTATAAACCACGACAGTTTAAAGATATATTTACTACATCTTCGCTTTATTTTTTTTTTGCATTCAAAATTTGATTAAGAAACTTAGTATTTACTACATAATGCTTCTAGCATTTTATAATAACAATATTTAAGATCAAACTCCATGTCGTACCAGTAATTGACGGCGAGGCAGCCGTGGCTCTGCGCCACGTGGTGGTACCACAGGCTGGGGAGATACAGGCAGTCACCCTTGCGCACA